AAGAGGGCATCTCGAACACACTCGGACTTCCCCAATCATTCGAGAAACTCATCACGCACGCCAGCAGTGTCACGTGACTTCTGCTGTCCTAACAATATTGTAAAGTTTGTCTTTTAATATATGAATATTTGTAGCATTGTGTAAAATCCTGATGGTTACATAACATTGTAGTCATGTAACTTGTCTCAGTATTTGATTTTGAAGTTTCTGTATTTTTTAGTATACACATTAACAAATGCTGGGCGGCCATATTCTATGATTGGTCTATGTATAATATTCATCAATGTAACAGCACATTTATTTTTACAATACAAATTAACAGTTTGAAATTTTTGTTAACATACTGACAGTGAATTAATAAATGTTGATAATAAAAGTTATTTTACAATCATAAGATAGTTCGACAGAGAGTTCATATAAGATCTACAGTAAATGCTTTCCTATCCAGCATCTTCATATTCTTGTGACCAGAAATTTCAATGTCTCCAAATAGAAATGCTCACCGTGGCTTAATGGGACTGCTGTGGCATTGTTTATGTTCTTACCTACCAGCAAGCTTCCTTTGTTAGCCATCTGTACCATGATTAACATTTAAAATACTCTACTTATAAATATTCTTTATGGTTTATTACCACAAGTAGATAGTCAACCATAGCAATATCTATACTTACACTAGCCCAAAGGATAAATATAAATATCTGGTATTGCTAAAAAAAAATTTTATATTGTATAAATTTGAGTAGTATGTATTAAGTAACTTACATTTACTTGGCTTATCGTAATGAATCATGTTTGATATAAAGAATGAATTAGTTTTGACGTTCAAAGGTTCCACTGTGAAATATCGTTATTTTACAACAGCTTTAAAATGATTATGTGTTTCTATGAGATCAACTGAAGAAACTCCCTATGTATTAAATCTAATTTTCATAAGGGAAATAAATACTGTAAATGTGTAAAAATGCCTACAAGTAGCTCTGCGATACGTCAGGTTTCGATATTCTTGGTGGACACAAAACAGATAGCCTATTGTGTAGCTTTGTGCTTAACTACAAACAAACAAAATGTGTAAGAAAAACAGTTTATTTTTTTCAATTTTCAATATTTTATTATTAATAATAAAAGCTTTTCAAGTTTACTCTTGTGTGGTATTCCTTCATTTTTGAAAAAAATATGTTATGTACCTTTCCCTCTTTTGAGTTTGTTTATGTATGGTACCTATTCACAGTCTATTAGAGTTAATTGTAACGTTACTCTCACAGTGGCACAAAATTAATGACATTGGGTGGTGCTGAGGTGTTTGTCACAAAAGCTATAATCACGTTTCTTTTTCTGAGAGCAAAGCCACATTGGGCTATCTGCTGTGTTCACCATGGGGAATAAAACTCCAGATATTAGCATTGTAAGTCCTTAAACTTAATGTTATTCCATCAAGGGGAACCTACAGTCATGTAACTCAGGTGGCTGTCATATATAAATGTTGATATGACTGGGTGGTATATAAGCATATAATGTGCTTTCTACCACTTGTACTAATGTATAAATTTTTCAAAATTTATTATCTGCACAGGTATGTGCAGCTTCTACACAACACACTGATTAAGAAGGTCATTACGTTCATTTTGCTCTAGCTACTTGTTGTTCTGTGTCACTCACTTAGCATAGCACCTTTTCTCTTCCAGTGAGAAAGGCAGCTGCAAAGTCACTCACAGTATAAGAAGTTATCTTTTCTACTGGCAATCAGGTGACATCTTGGGAACAATGACCTCTCTCATGTTTCACTAGGAATAACCAGCCACATGTGCAGCACTAGTTGCTTTGGGTAAGCCTTACATTAATTATTTCAGTAGGTAATGTGAGATTTATTCAGTCTGAAACAGGAGACCAAGGAGATAGTCTTGTCTACAAACTGAACTGATATGTAATATTTTCAAACCTACAGTGGAAATGACTGTTACGGCTGGTAAAATACATATCTTGTATTGTGTTTGTTTTAAATAAAGACTATTTATTCTGTACATTTGTTTTCAGTCTCTGTCTTTATATTTCATGAATTCAGTAAGTCAGAGGATATATACACAGCGTGCTCACAAGTAAATAGACACCAC